ACAAACATATATATATACATATAAAAATATATATATATATATATATATATATATATATATATATATATATATATATATATATATATATATATATATATATATATATATATATATATATATATATATATATATATATATATATATCCTTGTCAGGCCCTTGAGGTTAACTAGCTAAATGGGCCTGATCAATGTAGAACTGTGATCTCCCTTCATGTTCTTGTTCTGTTTATGATTTTTCTAATGATCGACTCCGAAATTGGAGTGTGCCAACCAGGGAGTAAGCACAAACAGTTCGATGTCGAGTCAGAGAAACAATTCAGTAGCGCCGGCAGTCTCTTAGTCTCTTCACCGTTTGGCTTTCGTGCAGCATTCGACGGAATAAATCCTGTGAGCACGAGAAAATCCACTCGCTTGTCATTCTATTAACATCTTAATCACTAGTTTTAAGTCTCATCTTTGTAGTTTGTGTGATCTTTGGATTCTTAATTGTGCTTCAAATCTAGTCCGTGATCTCTCGGTAAGCACATATGCGTTCGGCTTTCGGCCCGGTCAGCATCAACGATGCTTGCGGACAACCCCTTGCCGCCCTCCCCAAGCCATCAAGGCAATCTTTTGCCGAACCCAAATCCTCACTAGCTGTCTCGAGCATGTAGTTTAGTCCTTGCGGCGGTATCCAACAACATGCAACCATCCAAGAAACGATCGACGACAACATCGAATTCTGAGGATTTGCCGAACCCAAATCCTCTCTCTCTCTCTCTCATCAATTTCAGAGTTGTCATTTTCCTATTCCTTTTGTAGCCCAATAGCTGACAGCGTTTCTCCGCTGGAAGGAACAGTAGAGCCGACGACGACTGAGCAAGCTCACTCATTATATGCTTTGTTCCTTCCAAGGAAAAGAAAAAAAAGGAAAAACTAATCGGACGACGGTAACATACAGTTCCTTGGGAACGGTGGTGTATAAATAAAAGCAGCCATCTCGCATGACTCGATCCATTGATGAATCGATCACACTAACACACCGCACGATAGAACCTCGACAAAAAAAAGGCTGCATCAACTCGTCCATCGGATGGATAAAAGAGCAGTCGAGCTTCCCACGCACACAAAACCTTTCGAGATATTGACATCCATCTAACGAATGATCTCAGAGAGATAATTGTTTGTGGAACACAAGAATCTCATCTCCTACTCGTGAATTCATGCATACGGATGTGGCCAGCGATGAGTTCGTGAGCTCGTCGCCAGCTTTAACTGTGAACAGAGATCTTCTCCCTGCCAACACAATGCTTAGACCTGTGCTTAGTAAACTAATCAAAAAAAAGAAATTCTGATAAGAATATTTTTGTTCTTATCTACATGATCAAATCAGACTCTCGAGCCTGATGGGATTGTTTCGCTCACATTAATCGATGCGAATTGTTTGCTCTACCGACGGAGACAAAAAAGGACAAGGATAAGTCCGTCGTTTTGTGACGATGAGGAGCGAAGAGCACAAGGGAATTGGTTCATCGGGAATCCGTCGTCATCACCGCCGATCGTACGATACCGATGGAACGGCGATGGGGCGATATCCTGCCTTGTCGAATCGGTTGCTCGTGGTGCTATCACAGAATGATTGAGCTGATCATGATTGGGAAGCAGGGTGACAGCAGGAACAAGGTTGGCCGGTGAGCTACTCATGCCCGATGCATTCGATCCATGGAGCCGTCACTCCTTGTACGAAGCCAAGTCCTGTTAGCTATCCGAATGCAGAAAAAACCATCAAGTTGCCAATCATAGAGCTTAATAATTGCATCTCGATTCCTTGCCCTGAGCTCTGCGCTCCTCCATCCACACACCCACCCAAGCTTGTGGAGATCCATGCCACAACTCATCATCGATGGTGCCTAACAAGGACAAGATCTCCTTGTGATCAGTGATGCGATTGCTTAGTCTAATTAATGGCTGGCGTCAACCATTGGCAAAACCTACAAGATCTTATTTATGGATTCCATGGAGATATGAACATCAATTAGTGGACTTTTTCTCCTGTCGTTCTTCTACATTTGTGACGATGGTGTTTCTCATGCAAGTTGAGAACAGCTCGTGACTTGTATGGATCAGACAGAACAAGAAACGAGGCCCGCTTGGCAAATTAACACCCGCATACCATCTTGTCATGATCGGAATTGTTTCTCGTAGGTAACAACCATAAATGCCTTCACTCTGTATTCATTCAAGCATCATTTCCTCCTTGGGGATTTCTTGTTACTGTGTTCTTCTTCTCTAGTTCTTTAGCACAAGCATCAGTCCCTTGGCATCTTATCGGAGATTGCGACGGCGGCACACGCTTCTACTGCAGATATGATTGGAGGGGGCAACTTCCATCGCTCGTTCATCCACACTCTAGTGCACCATCTTCTTCTCTATATAACTCCCCCAAATCGCCTACTCCCTACAATTCCAGCTCTGGTGGATTGCCCGCACCCACAAAGCTCCTGTAGCATTCAGGTATATGGATAAGATGGGACTAAGAGACATAGAGTCCACACTGCCGCCAGGGTTCAGATTCTTCCCGAGTGATGAGGAGCTGGTCTGCCACTATCTCCACAAGAAGGTGAGCAACGAGAGAACCTGCGAGGGGACGATGGTGGAGGTGGATTTGCACACTCGAGAGCCATGGGAGCTTCCAGGTAACTCGATCTTCTTGTTGTTCCTTGTAGATCCAATACCATGACCTTCTTCTTCTTCTTCTTCTTCTTCTTCTTCTTCTTCTTCTTCTTCGAGACACATATGAGGTTTTGTTGGAATCAATCCATTGCTTCACATATGCAGATTTGGACAAATGATTAGAGCATAAACTATTGCGCCTCTCTCTTACACTAAACTGTGTTCTTGAATGTGTCGTAGATGTGGCTAAATTGACTGCCAACGAGTGGTACTTCTTCAGCTTCCGCGACCGCAAGTACGCCACCGGATCTCGCGCGAACCGAGCAACCAGATCTGGTTACTGGAAAGCAACGGGGAAGGATAGAACGATCAGTGATCCGACGACACATGCGACGGTGGGGATGAGGAAGACATTGGTGTTCTACAGAGGTAGAGCTCCCAGTGGAGCGAAGACCGACTGGGTCATGCATGAGTTCAGACTGGAGACCCCTCATTCACCCCCCAAGGTATCATAGCCTCCGTTTGGATCCGAGCATCGTGCATGATGTCCTTCACAAGCAAACATTATCTCATTTTGTTGGTCTCTTTTGTGACAGGAGGACTGGGTTCTGTGTCGGGTTTTCCACAAGAAGAAAGGGGAGACGGAGAATGAGAACACTGCGTCTTCTTCTCCCGCTCTGAGGTCATCTCCTTCTTCTCTAGTGGACCAGCCCATGCCAGATTTCCGGCATGAACGGTTGAGTTCATCATCTTTCTCCATTCTCCCACAGCAAGAACCGGAGAGCAGCTCAGACCCCTTCCTGAACTTGGCGCTGATGCAGGGCAGCTTTCTTGGGTTCTCACCGGAGATGGGAAGCACGGCAATGATGGGGACGAGCTTAATGTGTGAGGATGAGCTTGGATGTCCGCTGGATTTGGGATTTGAGAATGGCTTTGGGGAGGGCGAGATGGTAAGATATGAGCTGCCAAAGTGGCAAGCTTAGATGCTATAAGAGCAGCATGCTTCCAACAGGACAACATATATAAATGTAGACTTGGATTCGAAGAGGGTGAACGAACATGTATAGATGCTACAAGATTGGATGATGACTATAGTACAATGTATTTATTACCTAGTAATTATAAATATGCATAATATATATATATACCTTTTTTTTTACTCTGTAAAAGCTTGAAGAAAATTGGGAGTTTCATTTTTTATCCTCATGTCGATGATTATAAGGATTGGATTTTTGTTCTCTCTCTTAATGAAATGTTAAGCTTTGGTTCTCTCCATGAACATGGATTCAATTATGAGATTTTTGTGGTCATAACAGCATTTTTAGTTTAGTGAAGAAAGAGATATATGTAATCATCTATCTTTGTTGGGAAAAATATGTTAAAGCAGAATAATTCTTTTTCCTCTTTGTGTATCAAATGAGTTCCTCATCAAAATACCAACTTGATATCAAAAATACAAATATCAATCAGAATAGCATAAATAGTAGAGCAATAAATCAATCACATAATGAGATCAAATTTTTAACGTGAAAAACTCAATGCGAGAAAAATCACGGGACCGTAGTCCACCTTAAACTTTCACTATCAATAGTAATGATAACAGGTTTATAGTAAATCTTCTCTAGAATAACCATATAATCATAATAACATCAAGAACATAGTTCTTGGCTCAAGAATAGCATATCATCATCACATATGATGGATCACATTAAAAAGAAATTCTATATTTCACAAAGTGAGTATAGCAGGAAAGTACCTCAGAGAGGATAAACTATAGTTCAACATCATTAGGATTATAGAGCTTGCTGCAAAGATTCTTCGTATATAATTTGGGCTAAAACTAATAACGTTTAACCACTGATCGTTAGAAAACTCAATATGCTAATTGTTTTCTCTTCTTTTCTCTCTCTACCTTTTCTCTCACCATGCGCCACTACAGTTCGCTACTGCACACATGCTAACTCTTTGCTGCCCTCACCTCTTTCTCTTTCTCCTTTTTCTCTCTCTCTCTGCTATTTCTTCTCGTTATGCACTGTTGTTCTCTCACTACACACACGTCGCTACATGCGCTCGCTGCCCTCACGCTGCTGCACAAACGCTCACACGTTGTTCTCTCGTTTTTCTACCCTATCTCACATCTTTCTCTTTTAATTAGTGATTTGGGCTCCAAAGGCCCAATTGTCCAAGCCCACATATGGGCTGGACCCAACAATTCTCCCCCTCCAGCTCATATGATAAGCTGTACCAAGCCTGCTCTTCGCCTACATACTTCAAGCTTTTTCTTAGGCAAAGACTTTGTCAACATATCTGAGCCATTCTCATTGATATATACTTTTTCCAACTGTAATTCTTTCATCTCAAGCACATCACTAATCCAGTAATATCTCACATCAATATGTTTGGATCTAGAATGATATGTTGAATTCTTGAAGAGGTGAATGACGCTCTGACTATCACAGTAAACAATATATCTTTCATGTTTCAAGCTCAATTCATGTAGAAACTTTTTCATTCATAAAGCTTCCTTGCAGGCTTTAGTAATTGCTATGTATTCTGTTTCTATGGTTGATAGAGCAATACAATTCTGTAACTTTTATTGCCAAGAGATTGCTCCCCCGTAAATGTTATCAAGAACCGCAAAGTGGAGTTCCTGAAATCAGTATCACCTGCCATATCTGCATTTGTATAGCCTTCTAACACAGGTTTATCATTGCCAAAATATAAAAATAACCTAGAAGTACCTCTTAGATATCTTAATATTTATTTCACTACTGTCCAATATTCCTTTCAAGGATTAGAGAGAAATCGGCTGACAACTCCAACTACATGAGCTATATCTAGCCTAGTACAAACCATAGCATACATCAAAGTACCTACTGTAGACGAGTAAAGCACTTTGGACATTTCTTCTTTTTCTTTCTTACTTGTAGGACATTGTTTCGAACTAAGCTTGAAATGACCTACAAGTGGAGAACAAACTGCTTTGGCTTTACTCATGTTGAATCTTTCAAGAACCTTTTCAATGTAGGTCTCCTGAGATAGCCAAATCTTTCTTTTCTTCCTATCACGAAAAATCTTTATACCAAGTATTTGTTTCACCGATCTCAAGTCTTTCATGGCAAAAGACTTACTTAGCTCTCTTTTAAGCTTTTCAATTTTACCAGCATCATGGCCAACAATTAGCATATCATCAACATATGGCAGGAGAATAATGAAATCATCATCTGAAAATTTCTTCATAAACACACAATGATCAAATGTGGTTCTATCATACCTTTGGCTCATCATAAAGGAATCAAACTTCTTGTACCACTATCTGTCTAGGTGCTTGTTTGAGTCTATATAAGCTTTTCCTAAGCTTACACACCAGATTTTCTTTTCCCTTGACTTTGAAACCTTCTGGTTGCTCCATGTAAATTTCTTCTTCTAAGTCATCATAAAGAAATATTATTTTCACATCAAGTTGCTTAACTTCTAAATTCAAGTAGGCAACCAAACCAAGAACAACTCAGATAGAGGACATTTTTACCATAGGAGAAAATATTTCTTCAAAGTCAATACCTTTCTTCACAACTAGACGTGTCTTATATCTTTGTTGTGAGTTATTATTTTCAGACTTCAATTTGTAAACCTATTTATTCTTGAGAGCTTTCTTCTCTTTAGGTAACTTTACCAAGTCATAGGTGTGGTTCTAAAGCAAGGATCTCATCTCTTCTTGCATGTCTTTAACCCACTCATTCTTATGCTCATGTATAATAGCTTTTTAGTAAGTTTCTGGCTCTCCCCTGTCATTAAGCATAATATACTCATGTGGAGGATATATGGTAGATGGTGGAGGTGCTTGTTTGGTTGGTTCAGCATAATCAACTGTAGGAGTATCATCACTTGCATTCTCACCATAATCTTCTTGTTCATCTCCTCCAAGATTATCATGAACTACAGGTGAAGGAACTGGACCCAAACTCCAAGGAATATAAATAGAGGTTTTTGACTTCTCAACATTATCACTATCATCAAACAATTGATCTTCCAGAAATACAACATCTTTGCTTCTAATAATCTTCTTGTTCATTGGATCTCATAGTCTGTACCCAAACTCTTCATTACCATATCCCAAGAAGATACATGTTTTTGCCTTATTATCAAGCTTGGACCTCTCATTTTTAGGAATATGAACAAATGCTTTACACCCAAAGACTCTCAAATAATTATGAGATATATATTTTCCTTTCCATACTTTCTCTAGAACATCACCTTTCAGAGGAACTAATAGAGAAAGATTTATGAGGTCAATTGTAGTTCTCATAACCTCCCCCCAAAATGACTTCGGTAACTTGGTGTGAGAAAGCATACACATAATCCTTTCTTCAATGGTTCTATTCATCCTTTCTGTCACACCATTTTGCTGAGGAGTTTTTGGAACTATTTTCTCAAGCATGATACCATGGAACCTGTAATAATTCTCAAAATGACCCTTGTACTCACCACCATTATATGATCGAACACACTTTAGTTTTCTGCCAGTTTCTCTTTCAACACTGACATGAAACCTCTTGAAAACATCGAGTACTTGGTCTTTAGATTTCAAAGCAAAAACTCATACTTTTCTAGAATGGTTATCAATAAAAGTAACAAAATAAATAGCACCTCCAAGAGTTCTAGTTTGCATAGTATAAACATAACTAAATCAATAACATCTGATCTTCTAGATGATGGATATGTATGAAATGCAACTCTATGTGTTTTTTCAGCTAAGCAATGATCACAAGATTTAAGAGATGTACCTTGCAACTCTAGTAAGAACTGCTTTCTAGCAAGAGTTTGAAGTCCCTTCTCGGTCATATGACTAAGCCTCTTGTGCCAAAAATCTATACTTTCACCTTTTTTAATTGGATTAATCTCTCCTTTGTGTAGCTTAGCTTCCATGACATAAAAGAAAGTTAAGCTTCTTTCCTCTTGCCATAATTAGAGAACCTTTAGTGAGTTTCTATTTGCTTTCACCAAAATAATGTGCAAAGCCACATCATCAAGTCTGCATGTAGATATCAAGTTAAGACGAATATCTGGAACATGCCTTACATCTTTGAGTATCAATTTGCTCCCAATACTTATCTCCAAGCAAATATCTTCAATACCCACAATCTTAGATGTACCACTGTTTTCCATTCTGATATTACCAAAATCACCAATAGTATAAGACCTGAAGAAATCACCATGAGAAATAACATGAAATAAAGCACCAGAGTTAATTACCCAATTATTGTCCTGAGCTACAAGACTGACACAACCGTCATCACAAACAATAGTGATATCACCTCCAACAACAACTGTATTGGTCTCTTTCTCATTTTTTTTCCTTTCATTCTGTTCTCGCTTCCAAAACATACACTCTTTCTTTATGTGACATGGTCTATTACAGTGGAAACATTTGATATCTCTTCTAGATTTGAATCTTCCTCTATTACCAAGTGGATTTCTACTATGACTTCTTCCATGTCTTTCTTGTTTTTCAATAACAAATACACCAGAAGAAGATTCAACCTGTTCTTTCCTTCTGGCATCTTCATTTAGTAAATTGTCTTTAACCATATCTATAGTTAGAGTCCCCTCTAGCGTGGAGTTATAAATTGTCACCACATATGTTTCCCAACTTTCTAGTAAAGAGTTGAGAAGTAATAATCCTTGTATCTCATCATCTATATTCATTTTCATAGCAACCAGCATGTTTGTAAGATTCTGAAATAGGCTTATGTGCTCAACAATATTACCACCATTTTTATACTTCAAATTTACAAGCCTTTTGAGGAGAGAAATTCTATTTTTCACTATCTTTTTCGCAAAGAGGTTTTCTAACCTTTGTCAAACAACATCAGCTCTAGTTTCATCAGAAATATGCTCATGCAAATTTATATTCATCCATCTTCTAATATAGGCAATAGATTTTATATGTTGAACTTCTCATTCTTAATCGTCCATAGTAGAAGGTTTATCTTTAACCTTAATAGGCTTATACAAATCTTTGCAATAAAGTAAATCTTCCATCATATGCCTCCAAGTGAAATAATTTGATGAGTTCAATTTAATCATACCATCTGACTGCTCCATTTCAATCATATAAGAAAAACTAGCACCAAAAAACCTGTTGCTCTGATACCACTTGTTGGGAAAAACCTGTTAAAGCGGAATAATTCTTTTCGCTCTTTATGTATCAAAATGAGTTCCTCATCAAAATA